AGATGTCCGCAAGCACTTATTCTCACCTTGAGATCCTCCCTCTGTTGCTGTTCATCCTCTAGTAGGGGCAAAATCTGTGCCCTCTGCCTCAACAAGATGAACTTGAAAACTCAGAAGCAACCAGCAGATGCCTGCTTTTCACAGCAACATACAAATGAAAAGGAAGCAACATGATGCTTCCTGGGTTTACAGACGTTAAACATACAAGAATAGCATAACATGGGTGAGTTCAGGCTGTCAAGAGTCTACATTGCTCTATGCAGAATCCAGTTCTGAAAGTGATAGTGTAAGCTTCATCTCACAATTATCAGGCATCTTTCATTGGTGGCCACCAGATGCAGAGTAGTAATAGAATAAAAAAAAGCTGACTTTCAGCAGTGGTCTGCTATAAATCAAAGCCACGAAGTAAGACAGTCTGCAAAGTATTATCAGTGGGTAAACACAGAAGCAACGATGTGCTCTGAAATACTGCACACAACGCTATTTGCGGGAATTAATTCAGACTACGACTTATCTGAACAGTGAAGGTCACAACAAATGTCAAAAACATATAATTCCCCCAACTCTGCAGTTCAAAAATGGCAGTCAGATACACGAGTACGCTTTGCCCTGGATCAACGGCAATGGCTATCTACACCCACAGCAACACTGCCTAACAGTAAAGGCTCTGGGGAGTTAGCACTGAGTTGTAAGGGCTGATTACAGGGACGGCTGAACAAGCCTATGATTAGTAAAAAGAAACAGGAATTAGAGTAACCACCTCAGCTAGACACAGGCAGGAAGTTGCCCTGTCTGCACAAATACTTGCCTCTAGTCTTTAGCAAGTAAGGCCACCATCAATATTAATGTGATCTGTCATTCAATATTTTTCAATTTTACCCCTTAAATAAGTTTGCCACACTGTAGTCTTGCAGTTGGACGGTTAACTTTACTGTGTGGAACAGGAGGAAAGGGTCAACGTTCTTCACAGAGAGCAGGTAGACAATGTGGCAGCAACAAGGACTAAGACTCTTGAAATTGCTGACAAATATAGAGCAGTAGTTGAAGCTATTGGTAGTCAAATTGTCACATGGAATCTACACTTGAATTCAGTTATGAGAAAGTTGGGTTGCAGGTTTCATTTCCTTCAATCTTGTGCTTCTCATCCCAAGCTTCCCTCTTTGTTTTCTTTTCTTGATCAACCACATCTAGGCTGAATGTCTGACAGCAGCCGTATTTCTCAGGTGGAGTGTTAAGTAGAACACACAACAAAAAGACTGATTACATCACACGGTCAGTAAAGACAGGCCTATGCTAGTTAAGGAGGGTGGGTTACATACTATTTTAAAATTTAAATCCAGTTTTGAGCCATTATGCTAATCCACTTAAGGCCTGGAGTCCCTCCAATTTTTCTTCACTGCCTTCTTCTATGACAGAAGGCTGTCATATAACATCACCTTTAGCAGTCTTCTCTACTATTTCCCTCCCCAGATACACATTCTATCCTTGACAGGATAAACCAACACAGTTAAAACTGAATTTATACACCTATATTTATTATATCCACTAGGCATAAATTATGACTTCAAATTACATGAAATGGGTAGAAAAAAAACTAAACTAAAATGAATACATTAAACCATTTGATTCAGTATCTTAAGTGTAACAGAGCAGGAGTTTAAAGCTTCAATGCTAAAACCTAAGTCTTACTGCTGAACAGAATACATGAAAAAGTAATTTATCAACCTGTTATGAATTTCTGTGGTAACCTGCTTCCAAGTTCAGTGTTTTTTCTTGAAGGAGCTGTAAAACACAAGGTATTTTTCATAATCTGGATTGGTTTATTTTTATGCATTCAGGTGGGACAGTCAATTAACATTCAGTCTAAAGGACTATTTTGCCCTGATAAACTTCTTACATCCTAATATGCAATATTCAATACTGTAAAACATTTTAGACAAGGTTAGATTTTTGACCAACTAACCTCCTAGTAAATTTATATAAAAATCAATAAATCTGAATCTATCTTTCCATAAAGTGCTGCAGGAGGTTTAATAATACACTTCCTCTTCCCTGTGTTTCACTGATATAACTGCAGAGAAATTTGAATTCTAACATGCAGATTTTATAGGAACACAGTACTAGCACTTTTAACTATGGTATTCTCATCCCTCCTCACGACTTAGGCAGATGCATCCAATTAATGATGAATCATTCTACATAAATTTCCTGTTTAGAACATACTGGCAACACCAGCGTAACAACCTACAGAGCTCAAAACACGGAAGAGAAACTCACTTGGTCACACATCATCACCGGTTTTGTTTATAGTCCCCAAAAAGGTGTTTTTCAAGTGGGGGGGTGCAGGTGGCCCAAGAAAGAAATTGTTCACTTCAGATTCCTAGATGAACATTGTGCTATTTTGAAGAAACTACACTGTTGTATGCAGAGAGAGATGTATGCACTACACACTGTATACAATATACAACTAGAGATCACTCCTAGAATTAAGGAAAATTTTATTTATTGTAATCCTAAGAATCATTCAGCACATTTGTAATAAAATCATGTGTGAAGGAAATTGAGAATGTTTTGATCGCTAAGCACCAGGGCATTTAAGAACAATTGTTCTGTATCATTTTACTCACTGAAAGTTGGGCCACAATTCCACAGAAGGTGCTGAAAAAAGAGAAGGATGAACTAGACAAACAACCTGGTTCTGTTTATCCACGCTGTATCTTTAGAATAACTGAAGGAAAGTGCCTCCCAGTGTTAAAGTGAAATAAAGTCAGAAAAATATCTGCCTGTATCCCCAAGTGAAAATTTTGGTCAAGTTCCACTTTCTGCAGTGGAAAGTCCATTCTCATTCTACCTGCTTCGCTGATTAATTTTTGCCTGCCCTGAAGAAGGTTTTTCTTCTCTTTCGGGAATTGTCATATCTTCTGCAGGAGCCTATTGCCCACAGATGGCTGGATCAAGCTAGAATGTCCTACTTTCTGACCCCTCCTAGGGAGGCCTGTGGAGCTCCAAACTCAGAAAGTTCACAGACATTTCAAAGGTGCTTCTGTTATTCCTCAAATGCTCTCCTCTGGAAGCTCTGTAGTTGAAAATACTAACACCATGAAGGAAACCGATCACAGTCAACCCTCTCTTTCTTTTTCTAAATAATGATTGATAGAAGGGAACAACTTTTTTGTACGTTCAGATATGAACTTTACATTTCAGTGGTCATATCTGAAAGTTCAGAGTTTTTTTAAAAAACAATGGGAAACATTTTTGGTGCCACAGACATGAAAAAGATTCCCCATAAAAGGTAACAAAATCCAATATGCCACTAAATATAATATTTTATTTTAAAAACAACTGATGATCTCACAAATATTTTTGTAAAATAAGTTGGTATGTAGTTTCACTTCTCTCATCTTGAAAATTACTGAGCTATTTATCCTCTGAACAGCCTAGTATAAACTTCCACAGCATGTGGCCATTGTTTCAATACTGCACTGAAAATCCTTCTGTTCCCTTTAATTTGTGTCCCTTTTCACATATTTGACTTCAGATTTCAGAGTTAGAATGCAGTGACAGGAATTTTATAAGCATTTTTAAAGGTATGCGAGAGTACAGCCCTATTTGGTTTGTGAGAATGGAAAAAATCTACAAGCAACAAAGACTATTCTTTTGGCTACCACCTTTCTTCCTAGTCTGAGGGGGTAATTCTCTGTACAAGCTCATTGTTCTCGATCAGGCACTGTGAAGTGTACACTTAAATGAAATGCTTCTCTAGTACAGGGGACAAGTTTTTTTCGTCCAGTCTAGCTCACTAATGGTTAAGATTTTAAGGCTTTTAACCTTCAACAGAGAAAGTGCTTTGAATTTTATTATAACTTTCTTCTCATTGACCATTTTGATTGCTGAGGTTTTAAAGGACACAATCAGAAACACTCCAGACCACATAATAAATAAAACCAATACAATAAAGGTAACTTGCAGAAGTTTATAAGGACCCCAGGAGATGAGCAGTTGATTCCTTCAAGCTGAGCAGAAGCATGAAATGAACTTCAGCTTGCAACAAACTAGGGAGACACGTAAGAAAGAACATGTCCCATTTTAATATTACTTAATACTGGGGTTGACAAGGTATTTTAACAGCAAAAATGAAAAACCTGTAATGGAGGAAAGCCTCAAATGTAAAGTGATCTGGAGGCACCAATTAAGTGACAACAATTTTAGAGGTCTACACATGCCAGAATGTAGCTTCTATTTTAAAGCACTATAAACAGTCTATTGTAACTAAGTGGAATAAAATTCCATTGATTCTTTAGAAAATAAACTCAAGAAAACTCTTAGAAAAAAACAAGTAGAAAGCTTGCTACTAGCTCTAGTGATAAACTTATTAGTTTTCACTCTATGCAAAGGAAATGGAACAATATTAAGGTGAATGAATTTAGGTGTAGATCAAAAAATGAAGGATTATGCTGCCAGGGAGTGAAGGATTATCAATCACTTACCTCCCTCATCCAGAAGCTTCCCGCTCAGGGGCTGGGGTGTATCTGAAGAGTAACATGTAATGGAAATTTGTAGCATTAAATTAACTGCAGCTGATTGGAAGCACCTGATGGAGAAGAGGTGAGAATACCTGCTGTTTTAGAAGTGTGAATAGGATAATCCCCAAATCTGACTTTCTGGTCTTCTGACCTGACATTAACTATTTAGGTTAAAATTTGTCTGAACACTGGAAAAAATACTCTAATAGTCAGTTACAATAAGCTACTGGAGAGTAGTTTTCCAGACCAATAAAAAGAAAAAAGGCTCAAGTTATGGTTTTTAACTGAAACCATAGCCTCATGACAGCAGTAGTCAAATAACCAGGCAGTACACTTAGCATCGAAAGGAGATACAAGTTTTCATTGATCAGTACAGCGACACAGCCAAAAAACCCAAAACGAACCAAAGCACACCTATCATCTCCTCAGTAGACTATTTAAATATGTAAGTCAAGGCTACAGAAAACAAAATCTTACCTAGTAAGTGTGTACTCCCTGAGTCCTGAATGCAGGTTCATGGCGGAAAAAGTACCTATGCATCCACGCAATCGTTTATCTCGACCGATCTTCCATGTTACAAACAGTGGGCTGTTTTAGGGAAGAAAAAAAGACATGATCACAGAAGCAATATTGACAGATGCTGTGAAATTTCAGCGAGCGCCCTTCCTTTTCAGGCAATGCAGGGCCAAATCTCTAAAATTACTGTATCTGAGCAGGCCATAGTGTTTAGAAATGTCCTTTGCAATTCTTTTGACTGCTCTAGAAATGTTGCTCATGCGATACAACAGAAAACAAGATTACTGGAATAGTTAATGGACAGAATGAAACTGCTTGGCAACAGATATGATATGCTCAGTGGACCTCACTGTTACCCATTAGCCTTCTCCTGCAAATGGGAAAAGCTTCGCCTTAGACATCTGTACATAAGGAACTCTTTACAGATGGGAAAGATACCCCCGTCACACTAGCTACCCCTCCACCTGAAGACAAATACTTTGGTCCTTAACACCGCTGGCAAAAAAAGTACCAGAAATCCTTAGAAGACAAGAAAATTTAGGAACACTCTCCAAACGTAAAGAACTGCCTGAGGAATGGATATTTTCTCCACGAATCCCAAGCTTGTATTTAAGAATCTCAAAAATGACCAGGAGTGGAGCAAAATCTCTAGGAAGCCGAACATGTCTTCAATTAGATGAGTGTGACAGTTACAAAGAAATACTTCTACTATGAAACAACTATGCACTAATCCATAGATTAAATTAACAAGAAAGAGAGAAAGAGACAAACCATATAACTTTTGGGGACCAAAGTTTTCCTTGCAGCTCTAGAGCACTGCATCAATATGTAAGCAACAGAAAACTACACAAACTTGAATTTCTCCAGGGAGTGTACCTGGAACAAGAGGATACCCAGTGCTCTCAACTCTAACAAAGATTTCTAATCCCGAGATAGACAGGGACGTATGGAGAAGAAAAGCATATAAAATTTACTCTTTTTCCAGAAAAGAGACAAATCGAACTGGATTACAAACAAGAGTGCACTTTCCCTTACTGTTAGGCCAACCAAAAAAAAAAAAAAAGAAGTCATTTCAGTTAAACAACTTGACACAGAGTATTCCTGATCACAAATAGGTTCACATTTCTGCAGAACAAGCAACCCTAACCCACACCCCCAACTGCGCAGCACCTCCCCCTTAAATCCTGAAGTAAACCTGGTGTTAATTTTTGTGGAAAGTCATAGGCCATTCAGGCATAAATATGTATCATTCTTGATACAAAGACAACAGCCACACTGCACTAAAGCTGACAGAAGCAGGTGCATCTCTGACCCTGAGAGCACCTTCGACCACCACACACACACACTTAAGGATGCACAACTGATTTCTCTCCAGAGCCATTTGAGCAGGCACTGCTCTTCAGCATGCACAAACCACCACACTGAATTCATCTTGGTTTTCTTGATAGCTGTTTCCTTCACAGTATCCTTTCTACATAGTTCATAGCCATTGCTATGAAGATTGAGAAGTCTAACATGAGGTAACCTACCTCACGCCAATAGCATCTGAGAAGCAGGAGGTTACAAAGCAAACATAATTAGCACACATGCCTTTAAAGAGGGGAGCAGATCCAGAGGCAGAGATACAGTCAAAAATTCACGAAAAGTCAAGTTGCCTGCATCAAAAAAGAAAAATCTTCTGTTACTACTACCAGCTGCAAATAATGAGCACTTACTACAGTGCACTGCAAGGTTAACAGCACTGCACTGCAAGACCTTTGATAACTATGTCTTGTCTGACTCCTCAGCTGAAGGATCAGTAAAAACATGATCTGCAAGGTTCTCTGCATTTTGTGAAGTAGAACCTCTCTTTCTAGCTATGTTGAGATTCTTAAAATATACTAAGCCTAAGAGCTTTATTATATGAGCAGATCAGTCACTGCACAACTGCATGAACCACCACAGCGCAACAGAGATGGACGTAACTTTTCTGGGGTTGTGTGTGTATATATATGTATATGTGTATATATATATACACACACACACACAGAGGTACATGTGTGATTTTAGACTCTCAACAACCCATATTCCTTTTCTCCTTCAATCCCATTCACCTTGTCCGGTGTGGCACAAGATACTCATCATGTGATGGCAGAAAAGGATATACCTTGCAGTCTCTACAGCACCAATACAGCAACATCCAGTCCTCTCATAACCTTCCAAAACTTGTTGTTATAGCCTGCTGGTAGAGCAACTTCCTCCTTATTTGATTAAACTGGTCAAGTTCCCTGCTTTCAGTAACAATGAATAGAAAAGGAAGCTGAAGTCATAACTTTCTTTTGGATTTGGATTTCCTTTTATTTCTTTTACCTCCCCCATGCCTTTTTTTTTTTTCCTCCAAGTTGTTTGATAAAAACTGAAGAGTATAAAGTCAGAAGTGACTATTACCTAAGATTTAGTAGAATGTGGATTATTACACTATTCTCCATTCAGATCAACAAGTGGCATTCTACTAGCATTTTCAAGAAAGGTACCCCAGTTCCCCTGAATGGTATCAAGAAAATTACTAGATCGCAACAGCACTGAAGACACTCTCTCCCCTTGCATAGAAACAAGCCTGAATAAGATTCAAATTGGACTTTAGGATTATTCTCTTGACCTTTATCTTTGGATTATGAGATTTATTAACTGTAATACACTTAGCAGAGGGCTATAATTCAGGGAAACGTACATGCATTTACTTTCTTGCCAAAATGGAATTTCTTCTAGGATGCATCGCTACGGCTACTTTAAAAGGACAGAAGAAGAACACGTCCAGAAACCATCGCTTGAATGTCAAACAGATTACTGAAACATTTGCATACGCTTTGAAGGTCCTTGTCAATGAGTACCAACAGAAAAAGTAAAGGTTATATACATATAATTTTGTACTAGTGGTAGCAGTAGTATAAACATACCAACTAGACCAAATTTAGACCTCTACCCATTGGGTAAATGAACCACTACTGGTAACTATACATCACCAAATCTGACTAAAGATGTTTTTCCAACCTTTCAACTTCTGTATTCCCCAACACTTGCCTCCTTGTTCCCCAGGAGCCACTAAATGTATCAGCACAACTACACAGAAGATACAAGCCTACCGAACAGAATTATTTTCTTAATTACCATTACAGGTTTCTTCAAAGTCTAATATGAACCAAAGGTTCAGAGCAGTCAGCGACTCAAGAGTATTCTAACTCTGTAAGATTCGAGAAATAAGGCTGAAAGGGACCTTCAGGGCTCCTGCTACCATAAAGAATAATTACATTATGTAAGTCTGCTCATAGATGATCCACATTCTCCATTTAAAACTTACTAGAAACAATGGGAACAAAACCCCCAAAATGAAAAATTAGAAGGTCGCCTCAAAACCTCACTGAAGTTCAGAATCTCTGGAAACAGTCCAATTTCCTGCCAAAATGTTTCCCCAGTCAGCTTGGACCTGGCTATTCTTGTGCCAACATTGTCCTTTAGTTTAAATAGTTCTCTTCCCTTCCTGGTTATTATTCCTCAAATTATTTATAGAAAGAATTCATATGCCTCTTCAGACTTCACTTTGCTGAGCTAAAGGGGTTGCGTTCATTCAGTTTCCTCTCAAAGGGGATCTTCCCATTCTGACCATCACAGCTCTTCTCTACACCTTTTTCCAGTTTAAATTTGCCTCCTTGAACTTCAGTGTCCAGAACTGAATGCAGAATTACAGAGGAGGGTCTCGCACCTGCATTAATGCTTCCATCTCTGAACTAGAAACACTGACTGCTACATTTTAGGATTAATTCTCACAGCCTAATATAAAGTCCAGGTCCGCCATCGAAAGCTTTACAGAGCATTTCTAGTCTTACACTAAACAAAGACAATAGAAAACCCGCTCACAGAACCCAGACAAGCTATGCGGAGGAAAGAAACAAATTCTTTTTAGTGGTGTTCTTTTGATTTTTATCGGCATCCTTGGTTTCAGCTGCTTGCCTATTTTCTCCAAGCCTGCCATGCTTTGCTTGTGTTTTAAAGCCAATAACCCAAATAAACTTGCCATCTAACATAGTTGCAAATCTGAGACCTGGAGGTAAGTGCCAAACTTCACAGATATCAATGTCAAGAACAGCTAAGTAAATGTGTACTTTTCAACTTGAAAAAAAATATAAAATCCTTATTTTCATCTGTTTCTCTCGGAATAAAAACGAGGGGGTTTTTTGAGTAACACTTTGTTTGACCTAAAATGAAAATTTGCACCTCCAAGCACTTGAAAGAAAATGTAAGAGAACAATAGAAAACAAAATCTTCAGTAAAAAGCAAAAGAGGTGGCAGACGTGATGCTAGGAATCCCTTTTATCCAGTGACGTACAGCAGGGATATGTGTCGCATGTTGGAGATCTGAGTCCTCTTCTTGCATAAACAAGTTTGAACCCACATATCCCACAAGCATGGGAGAGCATACTGGGATGCAGTGCACTCACCTTTCTGACTGGCTCCTTCTTGAGCTAGTATGAAAGCTGGGGTGGGGGGTGATGTTGTTGGTTACATCTTTTAATGTTTTTTATTATTCATTTTTTTAAAAAAAAACCACAAACATTCACCAAAACAGATGCTGCACTTCCCTGGGAGGGCTCTAACAATCAGCTTCAAGTAGTTCTCTTACTCAATTTAGGCTGAAGCACCTTATTAAAAAGCAAAACAGCTCTGAGCTTGGGAGTGTGCCCTCTTGAACCAAGAGACTCAGAAATTTACTTGTCTGATGGGTTATCCAGCTTCTCATCGCTGTGCCAGGAACTTCTGACATACCCTGCTGACAGCGTTGACAACAGCAGCGATGCAGAGCACCCCGAATACTCAGCAGCTGAAAGTTAGTGGAAGATGTTTCAAACTGTACAGAAGCAGAAGGGACCAAATCCAGACCCTTAGAAGCATCTGTAAATATCTTAATCATTCCTCTTTCATAAGGGTCTGTGTTTTGTGACTTTTTGTTTGCTTGCAAGCCAGACCCTGAAAAAATATTTTCATCTAAAACTCTTTACAGGTGCCACAGCAAATTCACAAGCGACCTGAAGGCTATAAACTTTCCACCCAGCCATTGCTCAATTTACCATTTATTGAAAAGTCTTGCCCAGCTGTAATCTAAATAGCAGGCAACTGTTTCAGCTGTTTGCTATAGACGCTGTCAGGCACAACTCCATGAAAACCAGCTGAGCATATTGTTTTTCCCTACTTTTAGTTGCACAAATGAACTAAAGAGAGGGTCACAACATAGTAAGAGTTTAAACTAGCATTACTTCCTTACATACAACTGCTGTGACCAGAAGGGGCATACATACATACATAGTCTGTCTCCTTGACAGGCTACTGAAACATATGCACGTATCCAACACCCTAAACGCTGACCTTAAAGGCTAGCCAGAAAATGTGTGGCTGAAGCGGGTCACCCAATCAGAGTTCTGCCCCATGTGTCACTTCAGCTACTATTACGCTATTTTCATTAATGAAGAAACCAGGACAGCCCTGTACTTTGCTTGAGCATTAATCTGTTACAACTTCTGGAGAACTGGAGCACTTCACATGAAGGTCACAAGGCATAAACCTATATAAACACTGAAAGTATCCAATACTCCATGCTTACCAGTGCCCTAAGCATATTTCTTATTAATGTTTTACAACAAAAATGGCCTAAACCGATTATTGACCTGCTTGCTATATGTTACTGAAAATATTTAGACTGAAAGCAGAAATGTGCAAGCTATTTTAGTAATCAGTCAGCTATCACAGTAAGAGTCAGCACACCAGTAACTTACACTGACATCATATAGAAAGCACTGCTAAAAATATTCTCTTTTAATATAAAGCAGCACTGGATACAAGCTGCCTTTTATTTACCAGTACATTTAAAAAAGTGAAGTGATTCTTTAAGCTGGGGCGTGGGGGAGAAGGCAAGAAGTGTGAATACATTGGTCTTTTTCTGGTCCCATCAGAAGTGGTGTGAAAAGTTTCTCCTCCTTGTTATGGAGAGGGAGGAAAAGAAAGGGGAGGAAGGTGGGAAGAATAGGGGAAAGGAAGGGTAATGGATCAAGACTATTTCTGTACTTTTATAAAAGATAAGTGAGAACTTTTTTGGTTTCACTTGAAGCCTTCCAAGTAATCGAAAAACCTGCAGGACTCTGAAGTGAAAAGGATTAAACTTGACGAACTGAGAGGTAAAATGATATTTAGACAGGTATTTTAATTATAATTATTTAACCTACCATCTTGCATAACCAGAGAAGGGAAGCAAGTCTCTGTAGCCCTAATGTTACTTGACACCCAGGGCTGCAGGATCAGACCCTTTGAAAAGTCAGCACGCTCATCCCTTTGTAAGACCAGACTGCTTTCACTTCAGCTCCGAGGATTTCCAAGCTGCAACGTGCTCAGAAAGTACTCTAAACAAGCAAAGTTGCAATGGCAGCGTTTTCCTTTCTGTTTTGCACAAGTGAACAAGCCATTGTTCCTAAACTCCAGAAATTTTAACACTTACATTTTTTAACATATAGCTTACTCTATCTTATTTGGGATCATGCCCCACCTTCAAATATTGCTAAACTCTCATGTAATACTGTTTCAAACTAGAAGCATCTGGAGAAAGAGAAAATAAAGTTTATCATTAGAACAGTACGTTGCAATCCTTCACACAAGCAATGCCAGCCTTATTCTGAAATCACAGAAAGTAGCCTCTCTGCTAACCGATGCACTCTAAACTTTGTTACACTCCAGGCTGTGACATTTCCAGATGTCACAATTCAGTGAGCTAATTCACATTGCTCAATATAAGAGAATTCAGCTTAGTAATGAAGGAGGAGGGAACATGTACACTGATAGCTTTATCGAGGGCATCTGTACATATGCTCCAAGGCACAGGATGGGGGCAGATATGTTGAAAGGATCTAGTTTGTGATGAAAGGGGAAACTTGATGGATGATATTATGGAGCTGATGAACAACAACAAAATCTGGGGAGTGCCCTTCTGCAACAGTCATACAAGCACACCCCGTGGTACGAGGGCATTTTAGCTTACCAGAGATATTCTGGAAAAAATATGGGAAGACGCAAGGATGTCAAGACAAGAGTTCATGAACCTCCAAAAGGGAATAAGGGTGAATGGCAACATCCCACGCTCCCTCCCCCCCCTCCAATTTATAAAGACAGAATCTGATAAATGTACACAATTTAATATGTAAGATTTTCTGGAAGACAAAAGAAACTAGAAAAGGAAGAAAGTCAGTAGCTCCTCAAAGGAAAGGGCACAAGTGCAAAAAAGACCACCTATCACAGTAATAGAGCCACTTGGAGAAACTAGAAATAAATCAGGTTTTTGAAAAGAATGACAGAAAAACAGCAAAGCACAAGAAAAAGAAGCACAATGAAGACAAAACATTTGCAACATGACACATGAATATTGATGAGTATAAAGGAAAACCAACTACCATTTATGAGAAGAAAGAAAAAGACAAGGAAATTGCTGGCCAGCTACTTAACTCACAAATTTAAGGGAACATCTGTTAATAGAAGAGGCTAAGAAACCCAAACTGTAAAATTTCCATTTAAAAAAATCCTAATGGTAAGAAAAATGAAATGCTGGGACTGCCTGCCTGGGAGGACCTACAGCTGCCATCATCAGCGTATCCTCAAAGGCCTCCAAAACCAGGCCACTGTCAGGAATACTGTAAATATATTTGATGCCGCCCTTTAACAACAGAAGAGACCAAATGGCCTCCTGATGTTTACTGCAGACTCCTCTTCTGATTTTGTGTGATTCAATGTAAGAGAACAAAGGGCCAATTCACACACAAAACTATCTGTTAAATTGTGGGAGAGACAATCATCATACAAACCTCCAGGATGAGAGAAAAAAAAAAAATCTGAGAAAAACCCACGTTCATCTTCCACTTCTGTATGTTTCCTTCTATGCAGCAGTATTACAGAAGTGAATAATGAAAGAGAGGTATGTAACATTAACCATATTCCAAAGATCAAAAAACATTATGTTATTTATTGCTTCAAAGAATGGAAGACTGAGTAGCTTCAGCGAGGTTCAAAGTGCTCCTCGACATTTACTTGAGTGCATAAGCACTTTTTGAACCAAGAATAGAAGCCAGTTTCTTCAGCAACTTATCCAGAAGTTCAAAGTGGGCTCTGAAGTGAAAATTTAGAGAAGCCCATAGATTATTTTTCCTATTCTGAAAGCCAATATAAAGAGCCTTTTGCAGCTAAATGCAAACAAAAAGCTAGTTTTTCCACTACAGTGCCACTTAACACATACTTTGACATGAGTTAAAAAAAGCACTACTTGCTTGACTACTTTTATACAACCAGAAAAAGAATTAGCTACCAAGTAAAGTGTCTGAAATGCATTACCCTGCCTGTGTCCAATTACACACATACACAGAAAAAAACCCAACCTAGTTGGATAACGACTTCATCTAGCAAAATTCATAAAGACTGAAGCATGTCTAAAACCCCCATAGATTTCCTTGAACAGGAGGAAATTTATTCTGTGATAACATTCTTCCTTGTGGGAAATATCCTGAGATTTTTAAAAACAGTCTATATTGTAATACTCCTTCAACACATTTAGTCAATGAAGAAGGTTCATTACTGCAAATATATGAAGGTCCGAAGACAATCACCACAATCTATTGGCTTCAGAAGCTGGAAGTGAGATCTGCAATTTTTAAATTTAAAATACTACATAATTACTGAAAAAGTTATTAAATACTTCTGAGGGCACAGCATACTCTTTCATTCTCGGTACTAAATGATTGAATGAGCAACTCTTCCAACTCCTATATTTCAGAAACAAACATTAAGAGATTTCTTTCTTTACCCGTATAACAGACTTAGTGTATTTGGCTGTTTTCCTGAAATCGTTACATGCCCTAGAGAGATCAGCCTCACAGTCAAAACCTGAGCTGCTAGGTGTGAATTTGTTAGCAAGTTCTGCTTAGCTAAGCAGCTAATCTTAAGAAAGGTCAGAAAGCAGCTACTATTTAAAGAAAATCTAGTTTAAACAACAGCATAATCAGGGTTAAAAATAAAAGGACTGCTTACTGGTAGGTCAGTTTCTAAAGTGAACATACAACACCTTAATTAAGATTGCATTCAATATATTAAAATTCATTTTAAAAATGGACATAAATTCACAATGATGTGGCTGTTCATGCAGCTGCAGGACCACTGCTACTGGTTTTGTGTCCTTTGTGCACATTGGATGAGCTGAGGCAGTATGTGCAACATTCCAAAAAAGAGAAGGTAAAAGTAACAACTTATAAGGGGATGATAACAACTTTCAGATTAGATATGTCTAGGTTGGGCGCTCAGTCAGACACTACTCTGTATTTACAAAGTTGTTCTTTTGCACCTTCTCCCTCCAACTCTCACAAGACAATCCAACTTCATGAAACAAATCGAGTTTCTACAACATATGTTCCTAAGTTCGCTGCTCACTTTGCTAAAATAAATATTTACATCTAACAAAATCCAGAACTACTCAGAAATCACACAAGTTGGTTATGTAGGCTTACTTAGCATTGCTAAAAAAAGATCTGAATGTTTTCAGTTCCTCAAGGAAACAAAATCAACAGTAAAATGCACGTTCTACACAAGCAGAGAATCACGGCTCAGGACAAAACCGGTTTTACCCACCTCTACACTCAAGACAGTTTTTAACGTTGCCAGCCCGCAAGCGTGTTTGAAACCGAACGTAAGGGCTTGCAGCATGACATAGCTGCACTTGCAAGAAACAACCTTCAAAATCGTAACACTCCCACAGAGACACCCCTCGGGGCGGTACGGGCGGCAATGTCAGAGCACTTGGTCTGCAGCATCTCAGGTCGCAGGGCACCTGGACATTCCTCAGGATGGCACCTTCCACACAGGTCATCTAACTACTCACTTTGTTGCTCAAGGTTACTGATGCATCTCTAAGTCTATATATCTTGGTTTAGGGTGAGACACTTGAA